AGCTATTTCTCACTGCGTGAAAGAGTTTAAATAATTATTATTTCAAACAGTAATAACATATTGTTCTTGTATCCTGTTTCTCAGACAGTATTAACACATAGTTCTAATTTCACGTATTCTTCTTAGGCATCGTGCATGAAAACTAGCTATTTCTTTCTCACGGCGTGAAAGAGTTTAAATAACTATTATATTTCAAACAGTAATAACATATTGTTCTCATGTCCTGTTTCTCGGACAGTATTAACACATAGTTCTCATTTCACACGCAGTATTAACTTATAGTTACTGTGTATTATTTCTAAGACAGCATTTAAGAATAGTCTCCTGTATTATTTCTAAGACAATTTTGGGGATTAGTGCACACACATTTCAACGAATGCATTTCCAATGTATGGTTCTTGTGTGTTATGTCTCAGGTGTTATTAATATAGCTCAGCTGTATTTATATCTGAAAATTATTAACATAGAGTTCTCTGTATTTGATTCAGACAGCATGAACCTTTAGTTATCCCATATTTGATCTCATGCAGTTATAATCTGCGGCTCTCCTGTAATTATAAAAGTAAAAGTAAAGTTTTCCACGCCCTTTTAACTATTTGGGTTTACAGTGCCAGATCTATATTCTATGGACCAATCGACACTCGGTGGGTGAATTGGTCAACACTACGTTGGCCGTCTTTGTTTACAGTGCCAGATCTATATTCTATGGACCAATCGACACTCGGTGGGTGAATTGGTCAACACTACGTTGGCCGTCTTTGTTTACAGTGCCAGATCTATATTTTATGGACCAATCGACACTCGGTGGGTGAATTGGTCAACACTACGTTGGCCGTCTTTGTTTACAGTGCCAGATCTATATTTTATGGACCAATCGACACTCGGTGGGTGAATTGGTCAACACTACGTTGGCCGTCTTTGTTTACAGTGCCAGATCTATATTTTATGGACCAATCGACACTCGGTGGGTGAATTGGTCAACACTACGTTGGCCGTCTTTACTTCCTGGGACTTTACCTGTTACCTATTTTTAGGATGGGTCGACCTGGGAGTCAAGGTAATTTTTAGGAGAGAAACAAATCGACTTGATGTGGATTTCAACCCACGACCTTGGAGGCCTACAGATTGAAGTCTAGCTGCTATACATAGGTGGTTCTCCTTTAATGGGGTTAAGTAATTAATGACAACAAAAATCTACACGATGATCACGATAAAGACAGTATCAAGTTCTGCAGGTAATGGTCACAATATAAACACAGTATCTTGTGTTATGCTAAGGATAGTAGAAGGGTCTAATGAATACAGCATGTACTGTGACTGTAAGAAGTGAAAAGAATGGGTCTGCGCTTGAGTGATGTGAAGAAGGTAGTCATGGTAATATCAACAAAGCGAATCTTGCGAAAATGTACAGGTTAAGTCAGTTAAAGTAATGACGGACGGCGTAATGCTGACCACATTGCCCACCTAGTGCTGATTGGTCTGTAAAAATATGTGTGCTCTTCCCATATGCCCGATGCGCCTAAAGGTGTGAAAATGGATCTTAACTTTTTACTTAAAGTCAGTTATATCAGTTTAGAAGAGAGTTGGGCAGTATGTTGCCTGCTCGCCCGAAAGTGTTTGGTTGGAATTTCATACATGGCGGATTTGGAAGGAAAGAAATCTGCAGCAATGCGCATCACCTACTTGAAAGGTTGATACAGAAAAAGATGTTGAGTAGAATCAGTTTGAGCTTAGTTCTATCCTTGACATAGTTCATGCGTTTTAATTTCCATGAGTAAGTTCCTGGATCCCATTCTGGGGGATAAGAGAATGATCCAATGGCCCGTAACAAGCATGTCGTAAAGATCGACCAATTAGGGGTGTTTCATTCGCAGTCGGAGTTCATCTGCATGAGAGGCAAGGAATCAACAGTCAACATACAAAAAAGCCAGACATATAAAACAGGTGTGCACGCAAAACGCAAATGTTATGGGACGAGACCACAGTCCATAGGTGGACAAAAACCAGAACTTACTGGAGTCTACAGCCAGTGAAGGCTAATGAAGAAGACAAAGAAAGAGAATTGCCCTGCTTCTAGTTTTTGTTGTGATACATCAAGCTATTCTTTGAGGTTTGAGGTTTAGGCAACGGATCAACATCATGATACACAGGTTGTAACCCATAAGTGCTCCGTTCTTCTTCTAACTCAAGTCTGCGTCCAAAGAAGCTCAGCACAGTGCACATGCTCTGTAGCACCGGCGAGGATCCTGAAGTTATTCTTTAAACATCAAAACAGTAACTTTCTTGGAATCGATAATTTATTTGTTTATTCATGTGAGTTGTTTGCGGACCCAGTGCACGGCCTTGACCAAAGATCTATAATTCTTTAAATCAATCAATAAAGTACCGACTCCACACAGAAGAGTAGCCGCGATATATCTCCAACTAGCTTTGTCTTTCTCCTTAGATGTATACTCTCTGAGACGCTGTTCGTCTGTCTTTTCATTTTATCTTCACTGCCAACTCTCTCCGCTTCCTTTTTTTTTTTTTTTTTCATTGCAGTCAGACTCTTGCTGGCTTACATGTGTAAGTGAGTGAATGAGTGAGTGAGTGGGTGGGCATGTTTTTGTGGATGTGTGTGTGTGTATGCGTGAGTGTGCGCATACATTTTACCTCCCTTTCTTGAGTGTTTTTTGGTTTTGTTTTTGATATTCATAATATGCATATTATTATATGAACAAAAACATGCTTTATTAATAAACTACAACTGCTGTGTGAAAGATGGGTGTTTTAGAGGGCAACATGTAAGACGGGCCTGTGCGCCCAATTTATGACCCCCTGAAAATAAAGTTCGTTCATTCATTTACATTTCCCCCCAGTCTGCTTTTCAAGACAGTATTATTCTTTTAATAAGGCTGAAATACTAGGATTGCCTTTTGCACTTGTTTATATATGTATAATCCCTAGTCTCCAGGAACCTCTGTATTCGATTATTAAAGCGGCTCCTCGGTACAAATACCAGAGAGGTTGTAGTAACTGTCAGTCGAACTCTCAGTTTGTACGCTTTTGCCCAACCAAGACAGTAAACCCAGGACATTTGATTCACTCAAGTCAATACCAAAGTTGGCAAACAAGGAAAATCGGTGAACAGCTCACAAGATAACATGCCAGAAAAACAGACCAACGCCAAAGACAAGACACGAAGCTACCTACTGGCAAAAAAAAACAAAAACCCTTATATTTACAGAAAATAACTGACGTCAATCGGAAAGCAAATACGAGGGAAAACTAATACATAAATAACAGGTTTATAATGGGGTACGGGTGAGGAAACATAAGAGAGACAAAATAATAATGTAATTATAACATAAATAATAAGACAGTGTTTGTTTTCTCCCTCTCTAACATGCCTTCGATCTTCGACTGTGAGCTATCGCCGCTTCGCTGGCTGTTGTATTTACTAACTACACCGATTTCTGCTTGGCAGCTACAATTATGTATCAATTACCGACACGAGATTAGATCGTTTCTTGGCGCTATCGCTGAATATTCTTTTGATTCTATGACATTGTGTCTTTTTAGAACTACAATGCAGTTATGTGGGAATTGTCAAATCTTGCTTCAAAATGTTGTAAGAGAACCGGAAATGTGATCATCTGGTAAACTGTTATAGAAACTGGCTGCAGAAGGGTAAGAACGTTTATGGCACAGATTCCTAAAATTGGCAATACCGCCCCCTTAGAGGCGCTGTCACGATGTAGTAGGGCGGTAATAGCCTCAAAGACAAAGACTAACCGGGGCGATGTGAGAATGCTGCTGTCAAAAGCAGAGCTAAAGCATTAATAAACTGTTAGTAGCCCACAGGGTACACCCTTCTTATTAATATTACTTTACATATTTTTCAGGATATTTTATTATTTTTAATACTATCCCACACTATGTTAATTTACTGCGTGTAAGGTGAATGGAATTGAAGGTAAAAGGTTTGTTCGAGTCGATAAATTCAAATATATGGGTACAATCATTACATCATACGAAAATGTTTGTCAGAAATTAAAAGCAGAATAGGCCAGGTTAATGCTTCATTTCACAGAATAAAGAACATCTTGTGCAACAGGTCCCTCTCTTTGGATATCCGAAAGAGAGAACTAAAATTGTATGAAGAACCTATTTTACTGTATGGCAGTGAATCATAGAACGCGAATGCACAGATTAGAAAGAACTTGGAGGCTACGACGATATGGTTCCTCAAACGAATGTTAAGAATCCACTGGACTGCCTGAGCAATTAACATGGATAGCTTTAAATAAGGTAATGAAAAAAGATCAATATATACTGCTATAAGAAAAAGACAAGCACTGTTCTTTGGACATGTGATTGGGGGGGGGGGTGGGGGAGGGGGGTGGGTTTAGAGAATATTGTGACAACTGAGAAGATCAACGGTAGAAGAAGAGAATGCAGATCGAGAGAGATGATGACGGATGGATTGCGACTGTGGCACGGAGGGATATCATCGGTGGAACTGATCCAGAGGACAAGGGACCGAGATCTGTGGAGATGCATGAACGCCCACTCCAGTCGACAAGGCACCCGGTGAAGATAAAAGGAGACTGTTGCTTTAGTTGATTTGTGTGTGTGTGTGTGTGTGTGTGGTGTGTGTGTGTGTGTGTGTGTGTGTGTATGTGGACAGTTTTAAGCTTCAATATGTTTTACACGCGTACCTCAAACTTCTTTCTGGATTGTGTTGTAAGACATGGGAGAAAGCCAGAAACATAAAAAGGAAACATATTTATCGCTTCATCCTTCTATTTGTTCGATTACAGAAGGTAGATTTTCATAAAGAAAATAAATAGGAGAAGAAACCCGTTTGTGTGTGTGTGGGCGGGGGGGGGGGAGAGAAAAATGGAGGGGGGAAGGGGGGGGGTTATTTTGTTTAATTAAAGAAAAACGTGCACCAGTAAGTCTGGGAACTTTTGGTTGATGGGAATGCTCCTAGTACTGTGATGTAGGCTTTTAACTCTTTACTGACTGCACGAAGACTTACCTTGGTGTAGTCCAAATGGCTGCAGAGCACTTGCCAGAACAAACTGCCGCTGCACCAGCTGTATCTGCTGCATAATTTGTTGGTGTTGCATTAGAAGTGCCTGCAGACTTTGATTGTTAATGGAGGCTCCTGCCCACTTGCTGCCTGCCCCTGTTGGGTCCTTCAGAATCTGAGCTTGGTGCATCAGATTCATCTGAAGCTGTTCGTTGAGAGAGTGCAGCAGCTGCTCGTGAACTTTCTGCTGTTGAATCTGTGGGAGAAATCAATTGATATATTATGTGTACATGTTATTTTTAATGAGGTTTACATTCGTACGCTTTGTGACCTACTGGTTCTCTCGCGTCCAACTGTTGTGGATTGATCAGTATCTTCTTCTTCTTCTTCTTCTTCTTCTTCTTCTTCTTCTTCTTCTTCTTCTTCTTCTTCTTCTTCTTCTTCTTCTTCTTCTTCTTCTTCTTCTTCTTCTTCTTCTTTTTTTTCTTCTTCTCTATTAAATATTATGTGCACACATGTATTCAATAGGGATCCGCTGTGGTGTAGCGGTTTGATGCTCGCCTGCGGATCGAAAGTCATGGGTTCGGGTCCTGACGGAAGGGGGCTTTCTTCAGAAATGACATTGGCTCCCAGGTCGGCCAGCCTTGAGTTAGTACCAGGTGCAGTCATGGGAAGTAAGGCGGCCGGCGTGATGCTGACTACATCAGCCACCAAGTGCCGGACTAGTCTATAAAATCTAGATCTAGCCCTAAATGCCCAGTACGTCTAAAGGCGTGGAAAAGGGTCCTTCACTTTCAACTATATGTTTTAAATGAGGGTTACATACGCACTTACTGTGACCTACTAGTTCTTTACCTGTTTTGATCATAAATGTATCTTAAGTTTCTCTTCCTCTTCTTCTTTCTTCTTCCTTCGTCTGTTCTTCCTACTACCCTCCAAGCTCACAGACCTCTTTCTTGGATTTCAGCTATCCCTTCTCATCCCCATGTGATAACCAATGGACCAAACCGTTAGAAACACATTTACTGGCCCTCGACCCATTAACACTGTGAGCCAGAATACACCTGACTAAATCTGACATTTAACTGCTACACGGAAACACACACACGCTCATACACACAAGCACAGGCACCCACACACACCACACACACACACACACATACACACACACACACACACACACACATATATATATAGTCTATAAAATATAGGTCAAGTCTTATGTGCCCAATACACCTAAAGGGTACTTCACTTTTAGTGAAGAAATCGACGACAGATCAAACAGATGTAACTTTGGAGACAAAAACTAATTAAAGTAACAAATTAATTTACTGATGTAGGTAGTAATTTTGATAATGAAGGAAATACAAAGAAAGAAATTATTACACGCACTGGCAAGGCACCCAAAGCTTTTAATAGCTTCAAGTTACTTATCTTCAACACTAATGTTATTTCAGTTTTAACATTCAAATAACAGTTGGAGAACCAGTAAAGACGTGGATCAAAAGTTAAATGTATTTGAAAACACATCTTTGAAGAAAAGAGCGAAGAAATGAGAAATGGCTGGGCAACCGCTAGTATCAACAGTTACAAGACAGAGAAGATGGTGTTACACTGGACACTGCCTGAGAATAAACCAGTAGAGAATCACTAGGCAGGCATATCAATAGGAAATAAGAGATTACGGATGCGAGGAGGTCAAACACGAACGTTGATGAGAGAGACCTAAGAGCTGGATTGAATTCCATCCATGATATTGAACTGATTGCGCAGGATAGAGCAGAATGGAGAAACAGACTGCGAGTCCTGTATGACATCTAATGGCACAAGAGGATAATGAATGAAACACGACTAGGAGCGACTATTTCTATGTGACTGTGATTGTTAATAATCCAGTACAACATAAACAACACACACGTTTTACTTACGTGGTGCATAGCCGTCGATTGTTGCTGTAGTAACTGTTGAAGTGATGGCTGCAGACCCTGGTGATGCTGCTGTATGATGTGTTGTAGCTGCTCGGGGGACATACTTTGTTGGGACGCCATCAGTAGTAGATTCTGTTGCTGTTGATGCTGTTGTGCTGCTGTTGCTGCTGCTGTTGCTGCTGCTGCTGTTGCTGCAGCTGACGTTTCTGCTGACTCTGCTCGGTGGTGGACATCGGCACGGCTCCTGGGTCCATGGATGGTTTGCCTTTTCTTTTTGCTGCCCCCACGAGAACAGGACTAGACTTTGTCGCAGTCATACTTGGCTGCTGCAAGAAAGTACAACATGAATAAATGAATGGATAAATGAGCGAATCGAAGAATGAATAAATGATTAGATGGATGGGTGGATGGGTGGATGAATTAATGAATGCATGAATGAATGCATAAATGTATCCAGAGATTCACGAAAAAATGGTTGAATAAAGGGATGCATGAATGGATGAATAGAATGATGAATGGAAGGATAAATGAAAGGGTGAATATATGATTAAATGAAAGAATGAATGAATAAATGAATGAATGAATGAATGAATGAATGAATGAATGAATGAATGAATGAATGAATGAATGAATGAATGAATGAAAGGATGAATGAATGGGTGGATAAACGAATGAATAGAGAGATAAATAAATTAAAGGATGAATGAATAGATGGTTGGATAAATGAATGGGTCAATGAATGGATGAATAAATGAATGAATGAAAATGTGTATGGCTGTGTGTGTATGTCTGTGTGCCTGCGCATATGCACCTGTCGGTATGGTCTGTGTGTACTTGTGTATCGCTCTAAATTTACAGAAACACATTATGCACGCACAAACGTGCCTAACCCCCCTACCCCCCCCCCCCCCCCACCCACACACACACACACAGAGCCACGATCGCGCCAAGACAGAAAGTGACAGGCAGACATAGATAGACAGACGGATGGACAAAAAGCTAGCTAGACAGACAGACAGATCTGATAGACAGACAGGCAGACAGAGGGGGTGGGGCAGCTAGTCTAAGGAATAGTTAAGCAAAGAAGCCTTATAGGACATGTCACCAAAAATACGATATCAGATAGAATATTTAAATGTAGAGGTCAAGAATGAATAACACAATCAAGACCGACCAATGGCAGTCTTCTCTACATTCACCTAAATGCAGAAAACAATGCATTCATAAAGACTGGCCTTTTCCTTGTACTTTTTTCCTGATAGCTTAGCTGCCATGTTTCGCCACCTCAGACGTTCTCCAGAAACACGGATCAGGTCGGTGTTCTTGTCTCATCTCATCCACAGGACCAAGCTAAGCAGGTATCTAGTCCTTTGCCTTTGCCGTACTCTTTTTTTTTATAGCACTCTAGCCAGTGGTTACCAAGTTCTCGAGTTTAATCCTTCTCTTCTACAGTATTTTAATCAGCAGTGTCGTGACTAGATGAATTAGTTGCCTATTGATCTGATAGTCAGGTGGAGTGAATCGGTCCCCGAGAAAAAAGAGTTTTTAAAGTCATCTTTAGTTGGTACCTTGGTAAGATCCACTTTAATCCTCCCAGCCGAACTAGGTCACGTTCCATTGATATATTATTTTAGACTCATCTGCTGTCCGGGGGAAGGGGGGGGGGGGGGGGGGGGGGGGTTACGGCTATATTCTTGCTTTCTGGTTTGTCTTGCATTTACGTGTTTAAAGAAAAAAAAAAAAAATGCATGTGACATAGGTTGCAGCACTCTCTAGGGAGTTGTGGGTTAGATCGAGTTTCTAAATGTTTTTGTAGTGTTAAAAGCGCTGGAGTGCTTAAATATACAACACGCGATATCAACGCATTGCCGAACACCTGCAGACCTGCCCACTCTATCTACAACTTCGAAAAGACATCTGGCCTCAGGAGCAAAGCTTACAGAGTAAGCTATGGAAAATCATGAAGGACCTGCAGCTGACATGTGAGTTCATAGAGGCCATCCACCAGATGATTCGACCTGAGCATACGGAACCGCAAGAATAAGAAGATGAAAAATAAGAAACTAATGAATCAATATTAACTGAATTAGATATTTCAAAATTACATATGCCTAGATGTTGAACACCCCAGTTGGGGGGGGGGGGGGGGTGGAAAGATGGAGTTGGAAAGAAAGTAGGATATAAACTATTATATATTATTACTTTCATTGCCAGTTTGCACTAACGAAAGCCCGCCAACTAGGACTGCAAACAGAATTAAAAAAAAAATCCTAGCAGGAACACGTGCAATGTTTACGTTTTAATTAAAAGAAAACGCGACGCGGCATGAGTTTTCACAACAAACCCAACCTACTGAAAATAAGCAACCCACTGAAACATCAACAAACTGTCAACTATCAACAAATCAAATATGGACTCAACAGCTGCATAAATAAACTTGTGCCCTTGTTCTACAAATGTCGATCGCAAACGTTACGTAAATTTTGTCACGTGGTGTCAAAAAGTGAACTTTGCGAGAACGCTGTTTTAACAAACTCTCACAAGTGAGTAAGAAATGTAATCTAGGTTGAACGACAAAACAACAATAAAATCTGTATGCTTCGCCTAAGAAAACAAACACGCAAGAAGGTGTTCCGCAGTATACATTAGTTAATGGTAATTACTGTACCCTAACATATACGTGAAAAAGTTAATGCCAATTACTGTACCCTAACATATACGTGAAAAAGTTAATGCCAATTACTGTACCCTAACATATACGTGAAGAATTTAATGGCAATTACTGTACCCTAACATATACGTGAAGACGTTAATGGCAATTACTGTACCCTAACATGTACGCGAAGAAGTTAATGGCAATTACTGTACCCTAACATATACGCGAAGAAGTTAATGGCAATTACTGTACCCTAGTATATACATGAAGACGTTAATGGCAATTACGGTACCCTAACAAAAAAGCGAGAAAAGTTAATGGCAATTACTGCACCCTAACATATAGGTGAAGAAGTTAATGGCAATTACTTTACCCTAACATATACGCGAAGAATTTAATGGCAATTACTGTACCCTAACATATACGTGAAGACGTTAATGGCAATTACTGTACCCTAACATGTACGCGAAGAAGTTAATGGCAATTACTGTACCCTAACATATACGCGAAGATTAATGGCAACTGTACCCTAGTATATACATGAAGGCAATGGCATTACGGTACCCTAACAAAAAAGCGAGAAAAGTTAATGGCAATTACTGCACCCTAACATATAGGTGAAGAAGTTAATGGCAATTACTTTACCCTAACATATACGCGAAGAAGTTAATGGCAATTACTGTACCCTAGTATATACATGAAGACGTTAATGGCAATTACTGTACCCTATCAAATAAGCGAACAAAGTTAATGGCAAATAATTTACCCTAACATATAGGTGAAGAAGTTAATGGAAATTATTGTACCCTATCAAACAACTGATCACAATTGCTGCTGGTATGCTGCTTGTCTGTCTATATTATTCCATGTCATTTTTACATTCCTTCAGTTATCTTTCAGTTGTCCTTCTAGCAAGTCTTCCCCATGTGGGATGCAATTTTTTGTAATTTGAAGCCCCACTCTGGCTTTTGACGGGGGCATAGATATGGCCTAGCCATAAATATGTCCTAACGACTGAAAGGGGTTTCTGGGACCTCTCCAGGGGTGATCCTTATCCGCATGGTGGCACTTTGTGTCATCGGGCGTTTATCGCTTGTGTGATGTCCTGGTGGGGTACAACTACCAACCTGCCTGTCCTTCTCCATATTTAATTATGTTTTTCGAGTCTCTTTTTTCCATTTGCCGTCCATCGAAGATATATCCTTGCCAAAGTTTCACGGGCCAACTCCATCTTCTTCTTTAATAACGTTTGCCAGTGATGAACAGTTTGTTTTCTTGCTCAGATCTTTATATGTGATCTAGGTGAGCCAAACAAATTCACATAATTCTCCTAGAACATTTATTATATGATGTTAGGCATGGACAATGCTTGGTTTGCATGATTTATTCCAGTTGTAACAGTAAATTCCAGTTGTAACAGTAAATTCCAGTTGTAACAGTAAATTCCAGTTGGCGACTGCATTCTTCTAATGTTTGTGATAATTTATCTCTCCATCTGAACCTTTATCGAGAAATCTGAATTAGGCATCCCAGCAGAACCACCTGACCTGTGAACTAAGGCACTTTCATACCACCCCCCCCCCCCCCCCCCGAAAAAAAACGAGGGTGGGAGGATGATAATTTCATAAGAGGCCATAGCTGCCCCCATCCCAACTGCCAACCATATATAGATGATCATTTTTTCATTTTTGTTTATATATAAACTATTATTTCAAACATGCCATTCGATTTATGTGTAGTTTGGTGTGTTATTATTATTAAGCACTTCTGCAAGACTTATGCGCCCCTTTCCTCATACTGAAAACCTCACGCTTTTCCGGACATATTATAAGGAAGCTGAGCATCTGGTAAAGAAGAAGAAGAAGAAAAAGAAGAAGAAGAAGAAGAAGAAGAAGAAGAAGAAGAAGAAGAAGAAGAAGAAGAAGAAGAAGAAGAAGAAGAAGAAGAAGAAGAAGAAGAAGAAGAAGAGCAGAGAAAGAAAAGGAAGAAGAAGTAAAGTAAGAAGAAGTGAAAGGAGAGGAGGGGGGAGATGAAGAGGAGGCGCAGGAGGAGGAGGGAAGGGAGAAGAAGAAGAAGAAGAAGAAGAAGAAGAAGAAGAAAAGAAGAAGAAGAAGAAGAAGAGAAGAAGAAGAAGAAGAAGAAAGAAGAAGAAGAAGGAAGAAGAAGAAGAAGAAGAAGAAGAAGAAGAAGAAGAAGAAGAAGAAGAAGAAGAAGAAGAAGAAGAAGAAGAAGAAGAAGAAGAAGAAGAAGAAGAAGAAGAAGAAGAAGAAGAAGAAGAAGAAGAAGAAGAAGAAGAAGAAGAAGAAGAAGAAGAAGAAGAAGAAGAAGACGAAGAAGAGAAGAAGAAGAAGAAGAAAGAAGAAGAAGAAGAAAAAGAAGAAAAAGAAAAAGAAGAAAAAGTTATTTATATAGAACGTTTTTTTTTTTTTTTTAAATTAGCTACGACTGTAGTTCAGGAAAATCT